AAACTAACAAGAAAAAGGTACAAATCAACTATGAATAAACAGCACGGACTAAACAAAATCTATAAAATAATTAACATTCTAAAAAAGCGATATTCCTCTCAAAATCACGGAGAATTTTGATAAAACAGGAAAAGCAATCGTACCTACGTAAGTAGTAAGGATGGTATCAGGTAGGTAAGTGAAGCAACATTCGAGGGCAGACCGCAGTGACGTCGCACGCAACTGATAAGAAAAAGAACCCATAAACAAAACTTGGAAAAAAAAAAGTTTAAAAAAATCCAACACCCGTTAAAGGTCTAACAGGCCTTGAAGAAACACAAATGCAGTAGCAAAATTAACAACATATTTTGAAACTCACTCCTATCATTATGTTTCTGAGATGTCAACGAATCTGCCTTAATGATAGATTGATAAGGAATTGTGTTTATCAGATTATTGATAGTGGCAACGGAGATAAAATAAATAAATGGTGAACAACACCTCACACAACTACTAAACTTTCTAATGCAAAACAAATAAATACTCCAACTTTCACCTAATGCATTCTTTAAGAAATTTACACAAAAAACAAATTGCCTAAACAAAAGTTGTAATGTTTGGGCTTTATTGTTAATCAATAATCGATTAGTAAAATTACAGTAAATGATAAAATATCATATCATATAAGATGAAATAACAAATAAAACACAAGCCAAAAAGTAGTAGATAAGGAGTTCGACCGAGGTATTAAGCCAACACTTATAATCAATAAAGTCATGATAAATTCATTAAAATCTAAAGATGTAACACCTTACGGAGAAGCAACACTAGAATGTGCTAATAAATTAGGTGACGTTCATATCACGTATATCAAACTGAAAGCACACCAAAATAACCTTACCGATCGCTTGTATAAACTATCTCTCTCCATATACAATCAAAAGTACAATAAGTAAATTTCATATTTCATTCATTTATGTGTTAATGACATTATTCGTGCTCAATACATAATACAGGAAATATCTTACATACAAAACTATAAAGTAACCTGATCGATGATATTGCACTGATATAGCTGTTTAGTTCTGAATAATTGTTATAGAACCGGCATGTATTTACCTTGTTGCTGGAGGGTGATAGTGTTGAGAAACAAATCGAGGAGCCGACTGAACAAACAGAGAACATACGTCGACACAGGAATGAACCTCCTCCGACTTGGCGACTAACTGAAAGCCGCCATTACGTCACAATCTCGCTGTCTTCTCATTGGCCAGTCGTTTTATAACCATTTCTTCTGAATACAAATTTCCCTTTTGTATTCCTCTTCTCTCAATGTTTCAATCCTTGGCTTCGTTGCCATTTTTGCTTTCGAACCAGAAAGTGTTCGATTAAAACATACATGACTAATTTTTAATATTCTGGTAGCTCATATGTAATGCACATGTATGAGTACATCAAAAAAGGTGAACCATGACATGATAAAAATTGAAATTACACCATCACTCTTTTGGGGAATTTGTTCAATGCCATATTCAAGAAAAAATCCGCTTATAAAACCATCATCTATAATAGAGAAAAGATTTCCTTGTTTCATCAATGTTTTAAATTTAATAAAAAAAAAAAAAAATCAGCTTATAGTGATAGCTAGTAACAATATGAACAGTTCAAATTTCCAATAGTTGGCTCAGTAATCAAATTATATAAATTTTAAAAAACTATATAAATAGGTATTATTATAATACAAAACAAGATTTTTTTTTTCAAACTTAAACCATAACTTGTCATAAAACCTTATTGCCACAATGACAAAACAAAAATATTTTTCATGGAGTCATTTCTTACTTGTGCAATAACAAAAAAAATAACAGTTCACATCAAATAACTTTCATCACTTGATCCATGACCAAAGAAACTATATTGTTTTTGCTGAACGATGTAAAAAAAAAGTGTAATCCAGTGTTAAAACAAAATTAGTAACAATTTAAAATTAAAATCTGTCGTTTAGTCAGTTTTTTTTTCATTTTACCGAGTAATATAAATTACTGTTCTGATGAACCAATAAAAATATTTAAGAATCAATTTTCCCAAAAAGAAGGTAGGTATGAATATAATAATATAAAATGCCTGCCATTTGCACAAACTACAGTACTAAAAAAGAACCTCGAAAGTAAGATAAAAGAAAGTAAGGATAGTCATCATAACAAGATATAAAAAGAAAAGGTAGTTAGGCCCACTGATCCTCCTTTAAGTTTTGAATGATCAGCAACCAAGAAGTTCATCTCTAAGAACAATGTTGATATGATAAAAATAAATTATAAAAGGGGAGAACCAATGTTAACAATAAAAAATAGTCAGTAAATTAATTATGGCAAGATATACCATATTTGAACTATTAGGATGACATTTAATAACAATCAATGTAATAGACTGGGACATACAACAGGCTTAACTGTTGAAATACATAAAAATGAGAATATCATCTAAAATGAAAAATTAAATAGATAATGAATAATGACTCTCCAATTAACTACTATTATTTTCAAGAAAACAAAAATATTAGTTCATTTATGGGATTAAATGTGTCGTATCCATCTTTTGTATTAATGAAACAAACCAAAATATCAAATCATAAATCCACTTTTTAAAAAATAATTTTCTAAATTTTATATTTTGAAGATACATATTTTAAAACATAGATGAAACTTAAGACTAAAAATTTAAAAGGGTAACGAAAATTAGGATTAGGAACAGCTAATTCTTTTTTCAAATCTTAAATAGTTCTGTTAACTTTCAATATCCAAACTTAAAAAATAATAATTATTATTTAAAGTTTAATAAGAACTGTTTTTACCTCAGTATTACACATTTTTTCTTCACCGTCATCCCTTCGTTGAGATAACAAAACTATATCATAAATAAATGTTACAATTGTGTAATTAACTTTCAAATTAAATTTAAAAGAGTATTGAAAAAAACTATAACTTTACATAACTGCATATAAAAAATTAATCTTTCTTCTTTTTCGACAGGGTAGTTGAAAACAACAGTCAACAGGATAGATGGTGATCCAAACATATAAACTACATTTTAAAATAACAATAGTTTTATTAAAATATAAATTAGAAGATAATTTAAAACAAATGTTATATGCTGAGTAAGTCTAAATATACAAATTTCATAAAAATATGATATGTTTTATAAACATTACATATTATACACACTGTATTTATTACTTCTTCTTGGTACAGGAATACAGCCATTTAAGATTTTTTTTTAAAATTTACTGATCCAAAATTTCAATAATAATAGCTCCTCTAATTCAATAAAAACTATGAAATGTAATACTAATGTTGTTTTCAATTTATTTTTTGAAGTAGTAATTGCAGGATAAATTTCCAGAACTAATGTAAGGTCCAGTTATCTTAAAACTATGTTTCAGTCAAATAGTTATAATCTAAAAATTAAATAAAACTAAAATAAATGTATACCTATGACAAAGCTTATGCCATTCAAAAAAAAAAAAATCTTTGGTTTATTTCAGACCTGAGCGAAATACTATTTAAATGTTACTCCAATCAAATTTTAATAAATTCTGAGAAATTTCAAAATTGGTTCTTTTACATATTTTAAATAGAAAAACTAATGTATAAACACCTGATTTTATTATATCTATAGTATTTTTGTAGACTAGACATTGAATGGAATTAAGTACATAAAACATTAAATTATTGTTTGAAAAACAACATACTTTTTTAATATATATGAATGATCCCGTAAGCATACATCTATAATTAATATATTAGAAACAAAAAATAAAATCTTACTTTTTTTTTAAATATACCATTCTATTTTCATAATTGGAGCAACAGATAACTGATTTAAAAAAATAAATTGTAAAAACCATTTTATTTGGTATTTAAAATACTCAGGTCTGATTTAATTTAATTTTCATAATTATGAGAAAATTTAGTTTTAATACAATACAAATTTTAGAATAAATATTAAATTACTATGGGAATTTGACTTACAACATAAAAAAAAGCTTTTAAGTCACAATATAAGCATAGAGTAGAGCAAATTCTTGCATAAATATCAACATTTAAAATATTACCATAAACAGCAAGATATCTGCTTATTAATTATGAGAGAAAAAATCTGTAACTTTTATTTAAGATTTACATACTTATATTTTTTATATATATAAAATAATGGATTTGTTTTCAAATAGTAACCAAAAATGTTAAAGAAGGAATATACAAGTACAATAATTATTATGTAATGTTTCTACTCTCTATCCCTTTCAAACAATGAAATCAAGTCATAATCTTAAATAAAAACCATTTATTAATCATTATAATAACTAAACATTTAATTACATTATTCTCGCCGTAGATCAAACAGTTAATAAAAAGATGTTAACCATAACAATTTATTACTACTTCTTATTTGTTATTATTCTGAGGTAAAATATTTGTAGTTTTCTAACGTAATGTAAAGTACATTAGTTTACATTAGGCAGCAGCATGAAGTAAACATTTACTAACACACAGGTTTAATTAAACTAAGAGGTATTTAATATTTAGTGGTTCATAAACAATATTTGCTGACTACCGCCCTGCAAAAGCCTTTAATTACTAGTATAATTTTATTAGAAAGAGTGGTTTTGACCTGTTGTAGTCATTCTTGGTCTTACGCAAATTTGAAAATACAGATCAAAAATATCACACTTTATTCTTAATCATGCAGTAAAAATTGAATAGAAAATGTAGTGCATAAAATAAGAAATATGTAGTTTATTTTTTCAAGTGAATAATTATAGTTTTTTCACTTGCAGACTTCTGCAGTGTGGATATCGATATTCACAGTTTAATAAATAAAATACTTCTTTTTAAAATTATGATTCTCTGGATTAAGTTAAAATTTATCACAATGCATCATAATTCATGTAAATGTACTTCCATGATTTATAGGAATTCTAAACAATTTTTCAGAAAAAAATTCTACATTAGCACATTGTAAGTTGTCAATCATTTTTTAATTTGTAAACATACGCATAAAAAAATTATTTTGAATTTGAATATGCATGGAAGAAGTTCAACATAAATAAATATGCTTTATGTCATCTTTTGATTTTTTAAATGTCATTTCGTCAGGCACTTATATTATTTCTTTTTTTATAAATTTGTCTAATACATTACCCATTTTACGAAGTGTTCATATTGGCACAGTTTTATTTCATCGTGTTTTCAAATATTTCATCCACAAATTTAATTATCTTCTGATTCCATCAATATTTTCTTTCTTTTAGATTTTTATTTGAACCCTTCAATTTAATTTTTTAAATTTATAAAACAGAAAACTACTTCTTTTGACCAACAGAATAAACAATCTCATTTTCATCTGCGATGCAATAGAGAGGATAATATTTAAAATGCCATCTTTTTGTATATTAACCACAAGTTCCTTATTTCAAAAATGAATAACTTCTTTATTTTGGTGTCCTTAATTACCTGTAAGATGCTCATAAAAATTAATGATTTTCAGCATGTCGCAGAACAAAATTTATGCAATGAACATTAACCAAAGCATTACATCAATAGTTTTCAATATATTTTGTTTTCCTTTTTTAAAAATGATGAATTAATCATTATCAGATTTTTATAAAAATAGAAGCATTTTTTTTAATTACATTTTTCTTGAATTGAAACGTTTTATTAGATAATGATTAATTTATCACTAAGAGAAAGTTCTACAATAAATTTGTAAATGACCCCATCATTTGAGTTGACTTACTCTTTAAAAAATAAAAGTGATATAAGAAGCAACAAAGCCTGAACGTTGCAATGGTTAAAATAGATTACTACACAATAGCGGCAGAAGGTCAATCAATATTAGTTTACAAAAAAAATTAATAGATTAATTAAAATTAATTAATTCCTACCATGGATGATACTGCATTATTAAAATGCATAAAAAGTCATAAACACTTCATAAAAATACACATATATACCACTTTGAAAATAAATAACTAGAAAGCTCATTAAGAAATACAGATATGCTCACAATTCATAAATATTACAAATAATAAATCTCAATTTATAGTAAGAATTTGTTTCTAATTTACATCTACCTTTATATACAGGATATCCTTTTTATTATAAAACATGGTAACACTATTTACATAACAGTTTAAAATGCATTTTTAAACATTAAAATCCCATAACAAAAATAGATTAACAATATTTACAATGGATAATTGCATTAAAGAACACCTTTGTATTTCTGAAGGGTCTCCTGAGTCTTCTCAATTACTGTGTATATATAAGGCCGTTCCATTGGAGATACTTTCAACATCATTGCTATTAACTCATGCATCTCCTAAAACAAAGCCGTTTCCTCAATGTAAAAATATGAGCATTAAATAAAGTCTAGCTTCTGTGTATCGCAATGCCAAATTAAAAAAATCTGTAAATATTGAAGTTTTAAAGAATAAAGTTTACTATATAGAAAAAAAAAATCTGGCGATAATGAGATATGTCTATAGACTTTGTCCAATATATTACCAACCTAAAGGAATAAGGCAGATACTTTTTTGCTCACAAGGGGATATAGTACCTCTAGATGGAAGGACCCGGAATCTAATTGTTAGTGGATAGTAGGCACGGGACAGATGTACATGATGTTTGCAGTTTCAAAGGTGTTTAGTACAAGTCAACTTATTTTCCAGTTAAGCCTATGAAAGTAACTTCATACACAAGAGCCCCATAAGAGTAAGTTAAGGAGACTCATGATTTAATTAGGACAGGCTAGAGAACTTGAAAAGCATGGAATCAACTGAAAAGAATTGGTTTTTGTTTAAAAAAGGGATGGAAGAGGGTTGTAATTGAGGTTCTAGATGAGAGACAGCAGTAAAGGAGAAACAAATGATATTAAAAGGAATATAAAAAAAAAAAATAAAGATAGAAATGATGCAAGAATGAAACTGATACTAAGATTATTGAGAACTATCACAAAAAAATACAGAAGATAAAGTTGGAGTAAAGAAAACTCTGTAAGAAAAAAAGAGAGAAAAACTTTGGGAAGATACAGAAGGAATTTGATATAAAAAGATTCGAAGATATAAAGGATAAGAAGGAAATTAGGACATAGTAAGAACATTATAGAAAGGTGGTGAGATATTTCCAGAAGTTATTGAATATAAGTAGGATAAACAGTTGTAGTTCTATGGGTGAGCAGCTGGAAAAATGAAAATCATTGCATCACTTAAATATTATAAATCCCCATAGCCATGGAGCCAGGGCCCAAAAATCGACTTGATCGCAGGCGCAGGTTTGATTGTGAACTACGAAAGTGTATGTTATTCTGAGTAAAAAGAACCTTGTCTGCCGTTCCAGAGACACTGCTTTCGAAAATAGCGGCTGATTTAAAGAATATGAGGCCAGAAAGTTGAGGATCAAAATGGAAAATCCATTGCAAAAAATGTGAGCGCAGTTTTTATTTTTTTAAATTTGTATATATGGGTCTAGACAAGTAAAAAACAAAATTGCTAACAACGGGCCACCAAGGGTAAATTTTTTACAGCCAAAAAAGACACATTTTCTTGTTTTTTTCACCTATAACTCCTGAATAACATTAAATTGTGCATCAAAGGAGTACCTAAACTTCACAATTTGGTTAAGTAGTATGGTAGAAAACCATAATCAACCAATGCTGATTTTTACCAAATTCGTCAAAAACCGAGTCAAATTACTATAAATGGCCCCATAGCTTGGAAATGAGTTCCTTAATAGGAAAACCGTATAGAATCAAAGTTGTACAGCATCACATTTTGCGTCCACTGAGTACCCACTATTTTAATGTAGGTCACTTACTCCGAACAAAATCAGGTATCTCCCAATGGTTATAAATTGGTAATAAAGGTATACATGATTTTCAATATTTCAACAGTAAAGATTCTGAGTTATTTTTATTAGAGTCTGTTGCATGTAATATAAGCCTCTTTTTCACCTCTCAGTTGCGAAGGATTTTAATAAACGATGTGTCGAAAGATATCGAATTTCATAAAGAAATAACGAATCCAGATTCGTGATATATTATTCGCCTACAATAAAAATGTCAGTACGCAGTGGAGGCAAAATTTGATTCTCTACAACTTTGATTGTAAGGGTTTTTCCTCTTAGGGAACTCATTTTCAAGGTACAGGGCCATTTATAGTAATTTGTCTCAGTTTTTGAAAAATTTGGTAAAAATCAGCATTGGTTGATTATGGTTTTCTACCATACTACTTAACCAAATTGTGAAGTTTAGGTACTCCTTTGATGCACAATTTAATGTTATTCAGGAGTTATAAGTGAAAAAAACAAGAAAATGTGTCTTTTTTGGCTGTAAAAAGTTTTCCCTTGATGGGCCTTAGCCTTAGCAATTTCGTTTTTTAAATATCTAAACCAATATATACAAATTTAAAAAATGAAAAATTTTCTCACATTTTTCGCAATGGATTTTCCGTTTTGATCCTCAATTTACTGGGCTAATATTCTTTAAATCAGCGGCTCTGGAATGGCAGACAAGGTTATTTTTACTCAGAATAAAACATACTTTTGTAATTCACAATCAAACCTTCACCTGCGATAAGGTCAATTTTTGGGCACTGGCTCCAGTATAGAGAGATCTGGTCTGAAGAATCCTATCCTTGGTCTAGTTTACAAGAGAAATGACAGAATGACATGCAAAAAGCTACCATTGGATAGCACTGCTGACTATTATGTATAAGGTTATTTCCTTAAACTAGATCAAGATGGATATCACCAATCAATTATTTGTTGACTATTAGCTTTTGATTCACCAGGAAGGAAGAAATTGATTTAAGTAAATTAGATTTATTTTGTGGAGCAAGTAAATCACCAGATTGCTAGCAGTATCCTCAGCTGCCCTGAAGTAGATAAAAATACCATGATGCACGTCTATAAGTCTGTATACCTTCCTATTCTCACCTATGGCGGAGAAAGCTGGACTATGTCGGACAAACATTATAGTCTCATAACAGCAAAGGAAATGCGGTTCCTAAGTAGATCGGAGAGGAAAACAAGGAGGGATTGCATTAGAAATGAAACTATCAGAGAACAGCTGGAAGTGCCTGAACTCAAAACTACCTTGGAGAACAGGCAATTAAGGTGGTTTGGACATGTCTGCCGCATGAACGAGGACATGGACCCTATAAAGATATTAGAGGCTTTACCCACAGGGAAGAGACCACAAGGGCGTCCCAGAGTTTCATATCAGGAGTTCATGCAAAGGATCGGAGGTAGAAGAGGTAAATCCTTCAACCAAATGAAGCGGTTAAGCATAGAACGGGAAGAGTGGCTGTGCTGAATAGAGGCCCCTCGACGCTAGAAATGCCATTGTGAGGAAGACAAAGAAGATTTATTTTGAAAAATTCATAGTCTAACATCTACTGAGTAAATACTTAAAACCGTGGAACTACATTACCATGTTTGATCTATTTGATCTAATCTAATTTATTTTGATGAGAACATAAGGTTATAAAATTTATTCAAGTGAAAAATTCTTTAGGAGCGTTTTTCACTTTTAAATTAGACTGAGCCGTCAGATCTCCAATGTATTTCGATCGGGTAAAGTCAGCTGTAGTAGAGCAATTGAAATGTTTTTGCATATTAAAGTATCTCAAAAACTAAATATTGGACCTACATATTGTTAGCGAGGGAATTGTTTAGCATTTCATTCTCTATGTAATGGGCTATTATTCAAAATTATTTCTTAACGCGACACCGTGATAGAGAGGCAAAAAAGAAAAAATAGTGTCTAAAAACAAATGATAACGAGTTCTATGGAAGATATGAATTAAAATATCTCATAAACTAAAAATCGGACCAGCATACTGACTGTAACCGAGGAAAATGTTCAGCATTTCATTCTCTTTACAATGAGGTATTATTTATAATTTATATTTAATATTATTAATCTCGCCTTGTTGATGTTTTCACTTCTATCGAATGGTCTAAAGCACACACCTTAGTTTTTATAACTTATTATCTTCATTTTGTCCATTAACATTTTCTCAAACCCATTGCTTTAAACATTAATGCAGAAACTTTTATTCCAGTACAAATGCTCATAATTATATTTCCTGTTTACATTCCTTATAGGTCTCTTAATCTTCCAATGGGCGCCTTTATTTATAACAACAGCAGGCATGCGATGCATGGAATGGATGAAGCGTGCCTTTCTGATAGTCATTAATTTTTTTTCTTTTGTTTAGTTGAAAATTCAATATTTTGTGCATTAACATATATTTATACAATTTCTAATAGTGTTTATTTAAATAAAATTATTGTAATTTATTTTTTATGTTGTTTTAAACTTAATTTTATGATAGGGAAACAAACGTGTTTACTTTTTAGTTTTCTATATTGAATATAAGGCAGGGCATATCAAATAAAAGAAAGAAAGAAATACAAAAATATTTATGAACTTTAATTTAATAGGTTACCTCTGACGATAAAAAAAACAAATATAAATTATATATACTTGATAACATAAAACATAAGTTTGTTTACAAAAGACATAAGTTTAGATTGAAAGCAATCAGAAAAATATAAAAATTAAGATATTAAAAGCAACAAATTCATCACTTATTCAAATTAATCGTAATCAGATTTGTCTAGCCTATAACACAAAATGTACACAGTCTCAATTACAAGATGGGCTGTCCTAGTGTATTTTTTACACATGGGACATGTTTTTTTTTTCCTTCTACACACATGAAATCTTCACATGACATTTTAAAAACTTCAACCACAAATATCCAAGAAAAACTAAAAGTATAACACAAGTGAGCTTACCATTCAAAGTGTGCCACAACAATTTTCCAAGGGTTGTAAGGGTCAGGAGAAGGTAAGAAGATAGCAGAAGGACAATTAGAGTTTGAGATAAACGAATACCTACAACTACCATGACATCTGGACACTTTAAGGGATTTGACAGCCTAAAAACCGAGGGTGGAGCATTTCGTGCAACAGCGTGCTCAAAGGTTAACAATTTTTATACCATTTTATTTAGTGAAATACTTTTACTATCATCACGGGTTAAGTATTTTACTATCTAATTTTTTTTTTTATATGGTATGTATCATTTAATAAATTAAACAAATAGCCTGAATTGAGTGATTTTTTTCAATAATTGCAATAAAAATAATTTTTAAAAAATAGGTACAAATATTGGTTATGTTTTCAATTAAGAGATGATGGGAGGAGGTAATTCCAAATAAAACATATAATATAGATTTAAATTAACCATTAAACAAATAATTTTTAATTCTTATTTTATTATTCTCTATACTATTTTCAAAGCAGAATAATATGATTTTTCTCATAAGACTAATTACCCCAAAAAGAGCACATAAATAAGTATGAAGTGATATAGAAAAAAGAAAAGAAATTTAAAAGCAATGATAAGTAAAAAAACGAAATTAATACCTGAGTAAAAGGAGTGATGGTAGGAAAATCTATGCTTCCACTAATAACAGCCAGAGCAACAGAATCTCCTCTCTCGTAAACTGTATCATAGGGAGATTTAAAGTAACACATCGCATATAACATGCAACCTAGAGACTAAAAAAAAAAATACAAAAATTATTAATAAAAAATGTAAAATTAAATGTTTAACACCAACCTAAAAAAGGATTCCTTGAAACCTTCCAAGCTTTTAGTCATGTTTTACTCTTACTGTAATTAATATTGCCTGTTTCATTTAGCTAATTTTCTAGATGGTAGAAATAGAATGGCAATGTTTATGCCTTTTTCATTTTTTCAAATTATTATAAAGTCATTTTTAATGAAACAGGAATATCAAAATTTTGTTATTTTCTATTTGGTTATTATTATTATCATTTTTTTTTTTTCTTTTAGTCACCATAAAACAGTAGCATAGGTTATCTAATTCTATAAGGTTCTAATAGCAAAACAAAAATTTAATCAATTTACCCAAATATCAGTTCGCTGATCAATCATACAATAGCTTTCAACATTAAAAAGTTCTGGGGCTCGATATGGCATAGAACATCTTTCAGATGCTAGATCCTGTAGTCTTTGCGCTTCCGTGCTGCCACAAACCTTTACAACGGCTGGAGCAACTGATCCTAATATAAGAAAATATATTGTTATAATAAATAAATAAACATTATTTTAAAGAACAAATTTATTTACTTAAGTCATATTGAATATTTAATAGTTGACCGTTGCATTATAAAGGAAGGAGATGGTCCAGGGTGGCGGTCATAAATAGGCTAAATATTGGCAAAACTATTTTATTAAAAGCCAACGTTTCGACCCGACTCTGCAGGTCTTCTTCAAGGGATGTGTTCAGCAAGGAGTTTCACATAGAACTCAAGGGAGTTTCACTTAAGGAGTTCTAAGTGAAACTCCTAGCTGAACACACCTCCCTGAAGAAGACCTGCATAGTCGGGTCGAAATGTTGGCTTTTAATAAAATAGTTTTGCCAATATTTAGCCTATTTACGACTGCCACCCCGGACCATCTCCTTCCCTTATTTACTTAAGGAAAAATATATTGTTACAATTTAAGAGTAATTATTAAATTTTGCTAGCTTTGTATTCCATCCAACCTGGCTAGAAAATAAACTTTTTTTTTGGTGCCAAATGAAGATCACATCAAATGGAACGATAAAATGGGGAGGCTGGAGTGATTAATTTTATTATTAAATCACTGATAATTTTTGTTACATCTTTTAAAAATAAAATGGAAAACAATCAACCAACACATATTTTATATTTACAGTTCACAAATATTTCAATGTACAAGTTTATGGAACTCTTTAATTTAATTTTATAACATAATAATAATAACAAAAATAGTCAAAGTAAAAAATTTAAATAGTTTATAACATCATTCAATATCTTAACATTTGAATGTAACATATTGTGTACAATATTCACACCGATGAAGGATGAGCTAACTGGAGTTTAGACGGTTAAACAATGCTGCAGTGTGTTAACAGTATCTGGTTAATATAATTGAGGTGATTACATTGTGGCAAATTAAATGAGGTTGTAAAATTGTTGGACTTAGTAACGAAAGAATTCCTAAAAGTTTAATATTTTTTGTGGCGACTGGTAAACATCCGAAGGGTAGACCGATGCAAAGGCGGAAAGACTGCGTTAAGGCCGATCTGAAGGGACTGGGATTGGTAATTGGTAATAAGCGAATGGTGGTGTTACCATCAAACCTTCGGGTTCATTAAGTCTTTAATTATTATGTTTTTTCTCGCTTTTGCGGGTTGAATAACATAAGAAGTGGTTGATGTGGGAGACAATGTCTAGCCACCTTCATATTATTGTTATTTTTAAATATTTAAAAATTTCTGAACGATTCGTGATGTGGCCAAAAGAACTGATTGCTTTGCCTCTCTTAGCACATCAAGAAATAATTCTAGACTATCTGTACCTGCCTCTCTTGATTTTGGTATCATCTCATTGGTGGATATTATAATTGGCGTTGTTGTAACTCTTTCCAATTTATATAGTTGCTTTAATACGATAGCCAATTCTTGGTACTTTCTGAGTTTTTCTCCCACAGTGGAACTTATATTATTTTCGTTGGGGATCCCGGCATCAATCAATTTTGCTTTATTCCCTTTTAAATCTATAAGGAGGACGCCAATACTGTTATTAGGCACAGCATGGTCCGTGATAAATGATTCATCCCAATAGAGCTTGACAGGACCTTTTTGAAGGAGTCTATTTGGATGGTACTTATAATATGGTACCTTATCATCTAGTAAGTGGAACTTCATCGCCAGGGCCTGATGAAAAATTTTTGCCACATTGTTATGCCACTGGAGATACTCAGTATCATCTAGCACCCCACATCCACCTGTGATATGTTGGTTTGAATCCAGTGTAACTGAGCATAACCGGCATTTATCCGGTGCTGTCATGTCTTTCAGATGGCCATAACCTGATCTTGGATGGCGATAAAAAACCCTTCTGTTTTGGAGAATATCTTTCCAACTTTTAACCATTCGACTGATCTTTCCTTGTCAATGGAGATGTCATTCAATTGGCTGTAGAATCTCCCATGCAGTGATTTGGTTTTCCACTCTGTCAACTGTTCATTTTCTGACACAATTGTAGAGTCATCATGTTTGCTCATTATGATTTTAACATTATTAGTACTACTTATTAGAAAAAATTACATAAAGGAAAGAAGATTAAAGTGGTATGGATATGTGAAAAGTGTGATGGCGAACGACTCCTCAAAATGGCATTTGAGTGAGAGACTGTGGGTAGGAGAAGAAGAGTAAGGCCTCATGTTAGGTGGAGAGATGTAGCTGAGAATATGGTGGGCCGAGGGCTGACGGAGGAGGAAGTGATGGATAGGGAGAAGTGGAGGAAGCGACTGAGGGAAACTTCAATTTATGAAGAAAACACCCTTAAATAAAAAAATTACAGCAAAATAAGTTTACAAAATAATATTTTAAATATATTTAATAAAATCGATTATGTATATTTAGTTCTGCTACTTTGTGACAATAATAAAAAAATAGTTGAATGAAAGAATTTCAAAATTAATGAGAGGGACCGAGAACCAATGAAGAGACTCTAACCTGATCAAGCTTGGCTGAGAGTTTAGAATGACTCACAAACATAATTTTCTGTATCATAAATGAGAATAAGCTCTGATAATTCTAATAAGAGTGGTTTTCGTAAATCTGGTATTAATTAATATTTAATTTTATGATTAAAGCTATGTAAAAATTAAAATATGTATATATGCCTATACTTAGAACAAATAAAACCATCCAAAATTAACTATAAATAAATATAGTGCCCTACATAATCACTAGCATTCTTGCCCCACTAAAAACATTTTGAAGAACCCTAATAATCCCCACATATATTATTACAGTAAGGCTTGAAATCGGTTTTGTACCAAATATAAGCCCCTGTCATGCTTAAATACCATGAATGGGGTAGCGTTGGATTCAGAATTTTATGGGGGGTTAGCGAATCGTATTCTCCGCTTTTGTTTTTATTTCTTAAATAAATAAAGTCGATACAAACATTTTGCTAGGCTTCAATACTGGAACGGTGGTAAGTCTGTAGATCTGCTTTGGAGATTATGATGCGTACAGCAAGGGTTTGCATCCATACAACCTTATGTTAATTGTAGTACTGTCATTAAATACATGTCTCATTTAGTCGACTTGAGACCTCTATGATCGAGAGAGGAAGAGTTTATATTATTTATCGATGGCGTTTTTGATCGGCAAGCCATATCATCGTTAATTCTTCAGCAAATCTAGAGATTGAGCCACCAATTTTGAAAACTTCCTTCTCCTTCAGGTGGGCGAAATAATCCAATCGCCCCGAAAATTGAGGCAAACAAGTTATGGAAGAAAAGAAACTTTATTTGCAAATAACTAAAAAATTACACACTTTTCCCTTGGTTATGCCCATGATTATAAAAAAGATTACTAAATTATCTACAAAAGGAAAAAAAAAATCATCGAAATCGATTAGAAATTTTTCCAATATTTTTTTTTCATTTTATTGTTTATTTTTTCTTATTTTCGATTAATATTCATTAGGAGAGCTCTATTATAGCCCATTTCATTAGAAAATAGCTATATATTTGGCATATTGCTATAGTATGAGTACATTGAAACAATTTGTACTGACCAAGGGAGGAAAGTGAGTTCAAATATTTTTTAAAGGGAAAACAGAGTTGAGATTTGTATTTCGCACCTCTATAAAGCCTCAAATACAAATTTTCATAGAAATCAAAAAAAATTTAGTTAGCACCAAATCGGAACTAGGGCTTCGATTTTCTTTCAAAAATCACAAAAAGTGGGGTAACATAAAAATGACTCCATGTATCCTCATGAAAATTTATGTTAAGTTAGGGCTACATATGCTACATGAAATGACACAAACCAGATCCCTATAAATATAATAGAACTAGAGATAAAAAAACCAAAACCTTTGAAGAGTTTTTCTATATTTATTATTTTTAAACGCATCAAAACTAAAAATTATTGATACGACTTGAAATTGATCATTTAGTGGTAATTCCATTTATCACTTTATCAAGAGATAAAACCTAGCTGTCAGAATGAAATTGTTTATGCAAAATTCTATTTGAAATAATTAATTTTATTATTTTTAATAGTTGACCAATCTTTAATCACTACTTCCATTAAGTATTTCATGACTAATAACATTATTAAAAGGATTCCATATGGACTTATTTGAAATGAGTACAATATAATTCAAAGATCATAGGTGGTCTCACATGATAACCTTGTAAACTGAGTTATTTGTCATAATTCAAAATTGGAATAAAAACTTTATCTGATAGTTCTGTGGCTTAATAATGAGGATAGCTATATAAAACTTATTTAGAGGGTTGTACCAATTTTTTAAGCCACAGAGCTATCTGATTTTTACTAAAATTAAAACAAAAAAAATTAGCTACAGGATTATCATGTGTAGCTATTCATGTGAGTTAGAGGAAACAATTAACTTAAGATCATATACATTAAAAAATTTTGAACTGATAATTACCCAAATCCATTATCACAGGTGTGCTATCAACATCCAATAAAATATTGGCAGGTTTTAGATCCCTATGGGCCAAAGGAACAGGTTGGGCATCGTGAAATGCTTTTACTCCATCACATATTTGTAGAAACATTCTCAATATGTCACCTTGGTCCATATATTGTTTGTTTTTACTCCTTGCATCTAGACAATAACCCAAAGTACCCCTCTAGAAAAAAATTAAATAACTAGAACTACGGAACAAAGAACTCCTTAGCAACAATCAACTTATAGTATGACAGTCCATATGAACACTAAAAGAACACTGACCGAATAATAGTGAAGTAGTAACAAAACTTGACTGGTTGTGTTCAAAACAGGATCAGGACATCCAGAAACATTGTATTCAAGACAAGGAATGATGTTAGGATGGTTTAATATTTTATGGTATTCAACTTCTTGCAGTGCACACTTTTGGTCATCTCTGCCATGACAAACAATTTTTTTAACAGCGTATCTTTTCCGTGTTCTTGCATGTTCTACAAGCAATACTGTGCTAAATCCTCTGAAAAATAAGAAATAAATAACTTAAAACCAAAACAAAGAAGCAGAAAGAACATCTTGCATGGCAGGTATTGTTGTCAAAGGTTACCCTTGTCCAAGTTCTTCCAAAATATAATACTTAGAATTGCCGATAACTACATCATCTTTAGAACACAAACAACCCATTTTAAAAATCACACTGAGACCTAAAGTATTCATTTTAATAAAACACTAATGACTACAATATTCTACAAACTACATACTTTAGTTCAAGTCTCTTTTAGCAACCCACCCTTTTTAAATTGTTATCGATTCTACACAACTGTTATCACCAAAGAAGTAACTTGCGATCTCTTCGTCTTTATCACAAAAATGAACAATGCAGTTTCAATCTACGAGTTAATAATAAAAAATATAACTCATAGATGTTTCATGTTGACGAATAATTCATAAATTGAAAAAAAAATTAAAAAGAATCACAAATAATCTAGTACTATTTCATAGTACTATTTAATATATATGGTCAATTTATTAAAAAGATCGTTCATTGAACTAAGGCAGGGGTCCCCAAACTACGGCTCGCGAAGATTCCTTAGATTACAAGATACAATTTTAAAAAATATGAAATCTAGTAAATAACCAAAACACGAATTACTACAACATTTATTGCATGTACTTTTTCTCTTAGAAATTTCATTTCAGGTATAAAGAGTCATTTATTGAACAAGTTTTTTTTTTTTTTTTATCATACGCCATATTCCGCGGGACTTAGTGGAAGCTCCATAAGGCCTTAGAGTTTTAGTGAAGGTCTCAATGTGGCCCGTGGGCACTAGCGGATCCAGGATTTAATTTTGGGGTAAGCTTCAGCCCCAAAGATTTTTTTTCATATGTATAACGATAATTAATTTGAAAAACAAAGAAGAAAGAAACGAACTACCTACATGATATGGTGTTTAAGTGATTCTTTAAGTCATATTAAATGTAATTAAACGAACAATAATACTTTAAGAGAGTTTTAAATATTTTTTTCTATAAAACATGGTTATATTTTACCGTTTTTTTGGGGGGGGGAGGCTTCAATCCGAAAGCTCTCCCCTACCCGTAAATCCGCCTTTACTTTAGCGCCAAATAGTTTGAATATACCTGCATTGAGACTTTGCAAGTTACTGTAGCATATTACCACCCACACCCAAACTACCTCTATTTCAGCTGACATACTCAACACTCATTTTGTCTCCTGTTCATCCGATCCCTCTGTCCAAGCACCAGCTCCACCCCTCATACTCCCCTCCTTTAATCCCAATCATTTTTTTCTTTTCGCATATCACCCCTGACGACCTCCTTAAATCCATTTGTAAATCCCAAACCAAAGATTTCGGACCAGATAATATCCCAGTTAAATTAATTAAATCCTCACTTCCATCCATTTCCCCAGTCCTTTATCATATCTATAATTTCTCGTTACAAAGTTCCATTTTTCCTAGAACCTGGAAAACCGCTCTTGTTCTTCCTCTGAACAAAATCTCTAACCCCACAACCCCTAATGATTTCCGTCCAATTTCCCTCTTGTCTAACCTTTGGAGCGAATAGTACAATCTCAACTATCCCTATATCTTGAACAAAATAAACATTTGAACTGCTTCCAGTCTGGTTTTAGACCAGACTACTCCACTCATTCCGCCCTCATTAAAATCTCCCAAGATCTCCACACAGCCATAGATCAACAGAAACTCACCATCCTGATCCTTATTGATTTCTCTAAAGCATTCGACTCAGTTGACCATAATATCCTCCTATCCAAACTTAAAACTATATCCTTATCATCTAGTACCCTTAAGTGGTTCCAATCCTTTCTCACCGATCGCTCCCAGTACGTTGTAGTTCCTAATAATCCTCAATCAATGTCTCTACCTCTGTCCCGAGGCGTCCCACAAGGTTCCTCATTATCCCCCACCCTCTTTTCCATCTACATTAATGACCTCCTTTCCTCTATCATGCACTGTCAATATCACCTATACGCCGATGACGTCCAAATTTATCTTTCCTTCAACCCGACAGATTCCTCTAATGCTATCCTGAAACTGCAACAAGACATCAATAGAATATGCGGATGGGCAAATCTTAATAAGCTGACATTGAATATGGATTAGACAAAAGCCATCCTGATCTGATCCCCCTCACTCCTCAAATCCATTTCAACACCTCCTAATCTTCTTCTGAACAACTCACCTATCTCCTTCCATACCACTGTTAAAAACTTAGGCGTTACCTTCGATCAAAGCCTCCCCTGGAAACCACACACCTCCCAAATCTCCCGCCGTACTATATCTACCCTGAAACAGTATAACCATCTATGTTATCTTCTTCCGTTCAAAACCCGTCAACTCTTGGTCTCCTCTCTTGTTTTCCCCCACTTCGACTATGGCTGCATGGTGTATGGTGGACTCTCGGGAGAACTCAAAGCCAAACTTAAACGTTTAATGAATTGCTCAATCCGCTTTATCTTCGGGATCTCAAGGGATACACATATTACCCAGTTCTACACCAAGGCTCTATCTGTCCTACTGCCGTCAATATTTTATGGCTACCTTCCTATACTGAGCCATTACAACACGGCGACCTGCCTATATTCTACAGATCCTACAATTCAAACGCTCCTTTCAATCCCGTCCCACCAGATCCCATGCGTCCGACCTCTATCCTCCCCCTCACCGAACTGCAGCATTTGATAAATCCTTTTTAATACAAGTTGTCTCCCTCTGGAACTCTATACCTTCAGATATTCGACACGCAAAATCGATATCCTCATTTAAATCTCTCTTCTTCGAACACCTACTCCATTCCCAATCCGATTGATCATGAAATGCACTTAAAAACCTCAAAGTACACCCAGATACCCTGATTATTTTGTAATTCATCGATATTTCGTTCACTTAATTAATTTCTTTGTATATTTTATATTAACATTTATATCTTTTCATCATTTATAACTTTATTGTACCCCAAATCAACCTGTTAATATTGAATAGTATTTCATGGACACACCAAAATATTGATATATATTCTGTATTTGTGACTTGTTCTAAAGGGACACTAGTCCCAGAATAATAAAATTATATTCAATCATTCATTCATTCATTTTGATAAACGGAATTCCTTTGCCTACATTGGGGCTATAAAAGCTATTCCATACTTGAACTTACAAAGTCTTAGTAATGTAATGAACTAAGAAAAGCTTATCTAGAATCATGAGTTGTTTTTTTTTTCATTTTTTAGTGAAATACATTCTCAATTTAAATTTTATCCAACTAGTTCGTCATAAATAGTTTTATCCAACTAGTTCTTAGTTTTAATTTAACTATTTCAATAGTTTGAATAAAACTTCATAATTTCAATAAGTATTGGAATAAGGTTTCATAAATTCAACAGTTAGAATAAAATTTCTCAAAAATTATAGTTGCAAGTTTTTGTAACTTAAAAAAATAAAGTCATAATTTAAAAAAAAAGACGTATGTAATTAATTGGCAAAAAATATTTTAATTTTCTCAACTCTTAGATTTTAGCTTTTCATCAACCTGTTACGAATTGTTATAGTTTATTTAATTTTCTTTTCTATTTAAATGCAACATTGTGTCGACAAAATCCCTATCTTTTAACTTAAAAAGTATTTGTTGGTTTTTTTTTTTGCTTCCAAACTTCCACTTGTCCTCTACTTCTTCAGATGCTTATGTATATGGAAGTGACCTGAACCAATCGCCGCCACCCTGCCATTTATGAATTCCTTTAACTGCCCAAAAGTATCCTTCTTCACCAACCAACCGAACTCCTCTTCAGTGAGGACATAAATTCCCGTGATTCTCGTCATTGTGGCTCTTATTCCTTCAGAAGTAGAGCAGGTCTAACTGAGAGAAATAGGCTCGTCGGCTCCATTCTTCAATTGTTTCATCCTAGATTATAAATTTTTGCAGTATTATGTAAATTGTCCAATCCCAAATTTTTCATGTTGCTGTATTTCCAAATACTGGAGGGAGTGATATCCTCCTTCCCTCAACCCCTTTGTAGCGACGTCCTTGATTGAAATAGAACTGTAAAATTGTTTGGTGTATAAAAGGAATGAATCATAAATAATAATAAACTCCCAAGGTATTAAAAGAGAAGTAAGATGGGAGGATTGCATCCCCTCTAATATTTTTAATTTGGTTTTGAAGGGATTTTTTGGAAGGGGGTATATAGGCAATAATTGTAGCACCAATAATAGGTAGTTGGTATTGAACCGTTGAATTCTCTTATAGCGTGTTATATAGTGTTATATAGCAAATTGTTTGACGGATGGCAATTGTATACAAAAGTTCATACAGACTGGTATACAAAATGTATACATCAGGTGATATTGGTGTTGTTGGTACGTACCTCATCAAGAAATAGCAAATTGAAGGAATAGAGAGGTAACTATTAAATAATGTATCAATATTTTTCAAATGTATTATAGTATAGTAATATGAAATAGTAATATGATATATTGTAAAAATCTATCGACATTTTATTATTTCAGAAGGATATAAAACAGTAAATATTAAACAATAGTAACAATACAAATATTATTAAATTTAATGAAATATTAATAAAATATAGATGTTTTGGATTTCGAAATGTTTTTAATCTTTGAAAGATTTGAAGCCTTGAAGATATTTAATAGCTGTAATTAAATTTTTAAATCTTGCCTATAAAAAAACTATCAATTTATTAACAATGGTAAAAACAATTATGAAAAATTATTTCCAGGAAATAGCAATTGAAAAAATCAACTAAATAGCATAAACCAAAAATAAAAATCCTAAATATGAGTGACAGTATGTCATATTTAATGAATAACTAAAATCCTATAAAAATGTTAACATTTATCATAGAAAAGATTTATTACTAAGAAATAAAAAAAAATTAATTAACTGGCTCAGGATAAAAAAAAAATGAAGAAAATCAAATTAGAATTTATCATGACTGAAACGTTTCAGTATCTTTAGCTGATTTCGTAATGGAGAGAAACTAGGTTGAAATTATTAATAAATTGTTTAGTTGTTTCATTTTTGGGATTCTTTAAGTACTTTCTTTTTCCTGGCCATGTAAAGAAGTACTTTCTTGAACAATTTTTACTGAAAGTAAATGAACTTAAACTAAACATATTAAAAAAAATATTTATTAATCAAACTAATAAAAAAAAACAACAGGGAACTAGTCCAGTAAGTGGGCCCTATCGTGGTCATTTTTGCCAACCCCTGACGGCTATGTTGATATTGCCACCGTGTATTTACTAGAGTGGGAATGTCATGATCCATTTTCCAGGGTCGCTGAGAAATGAAGAGTAACAGATCCATGTGAAAATCAAACCCACAACGTTCAAATCCAGACACTCACCCATGTCTCATGTGCTCGACAATCCGGTCCTCAATGACAGAGAGGAAAGTGTACAGAGAATCTAGAACTAACAATAATCAATTATTTACTTATTTGCTGATGGATGATATTGATGAAAGAAAGATTTAAAAAAAAAATCAATATTAATATAAAATATTTAGGGTGTTATAGTTTGACCAATATTGAATGAATGACCAATTTTTTTAAAGTCTTCAATGTTTTAGGGAAATAGAAAGATTTGATTCTCCAGAAGACACAAATTCCACAATGCCTTTTATTAAGCAATTAAGACAATGTGTTCATCAATTCCATATTCTATGACGATTTTTCTAACACTTTCACCTTTATCACCAACATGTTTTATATTTTAATTTTTATATCTGTAGATAAAAGATTATGATTTATTATCACCAACATTTTTGATGCCAGTGATCCAAACTGCTGAACTATATTTGGTCTACACGAAGTAGATATTAAAACATAAATATATTAGAAGAAGGATTCTTTTTATAACCTTAAACTCCTGTAGTACTTAATTACTCCTCCGAAATGATGGCGATTCATTTATTTCCTCATTCTCCTTGTATAGTTAAATTTTATTATAATACTCAATACATCACTTGAATGTAAATAAAATATATATGTAAATTAAAAAAAAAAATTAATAATGATTAATAAGAGAGAGAGAGAGAGAAACCCCAATTAACCTAGTACCCTTATAATTAAAATTCTACAGCATACCATCATGAAGATTATTTCAAATTTATAGACGGACTGCTTTGAATTCATTCAAAATATTTTTATATATATTTTATTTATTCAATAAATTAAAAAAAAAATACTGATGTGCTCAAATACTTTAAAAATATTTTCATTTTCTATATGAACAATGTAATATTAATTTAAATATATAAAAAATGTGAAAAAGTGTTAAATTATTTATATTTCAGCCAGATATATTAGAAGATAAGTTACAATACTTTGGTTACACTCAGTAATTATTGATAATTTTTTATTAAAATACTAAATTTGTTATAAGATCAAAACAAACTGTAACAATTTATAAATCTCTAATTTTAGAAAGGAGCTGCTGCCAGTACAAGTTTGTGTAGGAAAAGATTGTGGGAGGTATGTGCATACTTTGTAATTAAAAATTGTTAGAACAATTTATGTAGCCTTAATAATAGTATGTGTTAAATAAAGTAAATAATTCCTATGGTACCAATTAAACATTAAATTTCATTTTTATAAAAACTTAAATTGTAAAAGTAAATATTTATTGTAAAACTTGAGTAACAATAAAATAATTTGATATGTGCAATTATTAACTTTTATTTATCCACCTCCTGATGGTTTTAGAGATAGATTTCCATCACAAGTTCAATTGAAGGATTAAATAGTAATATAACACACAGATAAAGGTAATTTTATTTTATTTTTCAAATAAAAATTTTTATTTTAATGATATCAGAGAAGCTAAATTTAGGAAATTTGATAAATTTTTCACATCATTGCTAATTGTTTCCATAATAAAAGTACTTTAATACAACAAATAAACATAATATACAACAAATATATAATAAAGTTGATTAAAAATAATTTAATTTTAATTTGAACAAACATTATACTCTAATTTCATAAACTAATATGTTTAATTTATATGAATAACAATTAAATTTTCCTAATAAAATGGATTGAATAATGGGCTCACCAGTAGATCATAAGTATATCAGTAAGTTTATTTATTTATTTTTTTATTGATAAAATAAATTTGATTTAAAACTCACAAATTTTGTCAGGATTAATCTTTGTTAATTTTAATTTTAAATGTAGCTAGGTTATTTATCAGCTCAAATATACAGAATAGCTAACACATTTAGTATCTGAGTATAATAAAAATTAATAAAATTGCATGTCTGAACTAATAACATTGTCTACAAGTCAGATCAAAAAGTATTCATACAACAGTTACAAAACATATGAAATAAAATATATGTTTATTATTATCAGAAACTATTTAAAAATAATAAAGTCATTTGATATTAGCATTAACTATCTAATATAAAACATATTATTGTTCATACAGATTGCATAACATAGCCGTTTAAATAAATCATTAGAAATAATCAATGAAAAACACAAGTCAAAATTATTTGAATACTTCATTAGTATATTCCTAAATTTACTCCATTAGAATGTTAATTTAATATTAAAACTTAAAAGATTAATAAGTAATTATTAAGTGAGCCTACCACTAGCTTACGGTACACATGTAAGTGCTGTGGCATTCATTATTTCTTTTTGTTATTGTCAATGATGTAGGAATTTTGTTCCACAACTTAATAGTTACACTCTTAATCCTTAAGCTGTTGAATTGTGTGGAAGAATATATAATTTTTCTTTACCTAATTTGTTTTTGTGAATGCCTCATTAGGATGAGCATTAGATAATATAAACATGATAATAAGAATAGATAGGCAAGATAAGACTTTACTTGTATATGTAATATATAGTAAGAGAAAGTATTGATTGCTTCCATGCAATTTTTTGAATCTGAGTTTTCAATGGAAATAAATGTTTTGAGGTTCCTTGAGTCCAAATAACCAAGTCCCCCAAAATGGTTTGTGTGTGTGTGTGTGTGTGTGTGTGTGTGTGTGGTGAACAGCCTAGCTCAAAAATAAAAAGTTGTAGGAAAATGAAATTGCGTATTTAGCGTTTTTATATGGGAGGGATGTTACAGCAACTTTTCTTTTAAAATCAGCTTACCGAAAGTGCCACTTAATATCATCAATGTTAGACATTTTTAGGATTTTCTCAAAAACGGCCTTAATGATTTTGATTAAATTCATTATATCAGTGTAAATATAATGTTACTCTTATTTTCATTTATGTTCTCTATCAGGATTTAAATGCCTAATTTCCACAGTTTCTTCCTATAAAGTACCTCTAATTTTTTTATTTAAAACAATTAACCAATTAACATTGTAAACTGATATTAAAAATGGTCAAGCATGAAAAAAATCTAAAGGAAAAATAACCTAATATTATAATAGAAAACCGACAAAACCCTAGCGTACAGCTGACCTTGGCCAAAAGGTTAGAACAGGCTTTTCTGTAGGCAGTTTTCATAAATGCTAGTGTTGATATTAATTAACATTTAATTGTATAGTTTACAGCAATATAAAAATTTAAATTTATATATGTACCAATGCTTAAACAAATAAAAATACCTACAATGAAATATATATAAATTTTGTGGCCCTCATTATCAGTGACACTCATATTAGACTAAAATTATTTTGTGGCTCATAATAAATTATTACAATAAAATAAATAATTAAAATATACAATCATTAAAGGCAATTATTAGCAAAAAAATACCATTAGTATAATAAATTATATGCCTGTGAAAAATATATAATTGTTTCAAAATATATTTTATATGTTTATGTGTTTGTATGTATATATGTTTATACTTTCTCTTCCTTTATCTGAAAATACCCATTCCTGCTAAAAGAAGAGTAGTAAAAGTTGATTGAAAGTTTATTGATGCATGTACTGCACCAGATTTTTTCATTAAGGCATTTCTTTCCAAGGCACTTCTTGACTTTCATGAAATGTTTATTTCAATATCCCATTGGTCAGAAAATACTAACTTGTTTTAAAAACCAATCCTATTTTTTTAAATATATTCTTTGACTCAAATAAACATTTTTTAAAATTACATTGTGAGAGTTGTTTTTTTTTAGCTCTTTTGCTTTAAAATTCATCATTTTGAAAACATTGATGTTCATTGGTTTTAGCAAAATGTTCCTCCACAAATTTAGCCTCTAATCTTAAATTTAGTACGCTTTCTCACTTTTCGCTTTCATAGATTTATCAGTTGTAATATGGTTACCATAATTTTCTTTCTATATCAGCCCTTTCAACTTGATTTATGCCCCATTTTAGCTATACACCACAGTAAGAATAATATATACACTTACACAGGCATGGGTGGTCTCAATAAATATTAATAAAAGTCAAAATTTAGCCTTAAGAGAGTAAACTCAGAACTACATAAATAAGGTGTGAGACACTTTTGACTCCTGATTGAATTATTTTGAATTTTTATATAAAGCAATGTTATACGGTTTCATAATCAAAAATATGTTTTAAATTAAATTGTTGATGATGATATAAAATGGTTTCATTATTTTAAAATACCTCCTGCTAATAACATCAATATTTTTAATTTTATATAATTTAAAACTGTTATATGAAACCTTTTACTCTAACATTACCTAATTTTCTTATTCATGGGAAAAGTAAAATGTTTTATGCTTACATTAGTAGAATTTTATTATTTTAAAAATTATAGATTTGTACTTAATTATTTAAAGATATGTAATTAAGCTGAATGTATGAACCATTCAGCTTAATTGTTTGAATAATATATTATTAAACAAGGATAATTATCAGCTCAAGAGTTCATTACCAGCCTTTTAATTCGCATTTTCTTACATTTGAAAGCAAATGTTTAGAATTATTTTCTGAAAATATTGTGGTATTGGTATGTATACTGTACATAAATGTTAATTTGAGCTAATAAGAACTATGGTTATTTATAACAATTGTGATTTTGAAAGACGAAACCAAAAACATTGTAAACAAAATGTATATAATTAAATAAAATATATTAAATTTATATTTTAAAATCATATAATATCATATTTATAAATACCACAATATTTTCAGAAAATAATTCTAAACATTTGCTTTCAAATGTAAGAAAATGGGAATTAAAAGGCTGGTAATGAACTCTTGAGCTGATAATTATCCTTGTTTAATAATATATTATTCAAACAATTAAATGATGTGCACTGTAGAAAATAATAGTACATGAAACATGATTTTTTTTCAGCATCCCAAACTCCAAAACAATAATGAAAATTTATATAATTATTTTTTAATAATTAATTCTATTGCTACCGTACTAATAACTGAAAATCAGTTAAATTTTAAATTTCAAGATAATTATTGAAATTATATTTGTATTTATTTATTTTCCTCTATTTTAAATGGTCATTGGTAACACTGGCATATTAAGCTCAATTGTCTACTAGTGTTGAATTTAATTGAAATCCAGTTTCATGATATGTTTGATTGTAAGAACGAATAGTTCTGTCCAGTTTGGTTGTTTATTAGTTATATTTAAATTAAAAATTAGTGTTAATGAAAATAAAACTGGGAGTGTGAAATATTTAACTCAAATCCATTTCTCGTTTTTCGAAAAAGATTTTTTTCTATTTTATTAATTTTTTAAACAATAACTAAAATTGTTAAAATGATAATGCAGAAATCCAATAATTCATATTCATATATTGTACAAGTGTTTTCCTATTTCTTCATAGGACACAGTAGAGAATTAGGCAGACTTAGATGTTTACATCTATTGAAATTCCACCATATTTTAATCCTTATTAAAAAACCTTACATTATTATTGTTGCAGGAAGAACACAGACTTGACATTTTGGTTGTAAAGCTATATTTTTGTTGTTAATTAACCACATCAGTGATAAATTGTTGGTTTGGCAGTGAACAGCCTTTATAAGTTCTAATAAAATAAAGAATATTTTTTTTTTCTTTTCAGATATGGGAGCCTTGTTTGGACTTACAGTGTCCACAGGCTACATTATTCTCTCTTGTCTTATAGCATGGTGGGCAAGAAAGTTAGCTGACAAAGTTTGGCCAAAATCAACTATAGCAAAATGTCTTTTCCTAGAAGGTATTGCCACTTGGGAGTTGTGCTCAACATGCTTTGAACTTATCATAGGTAAATTTAACTTGCAGATATATTGAGTGTTTGTTTTATAGTTATATATTTGAAACAATTTGAATTTTTTACTTGTGTTTGATTTGTCACTGAAAACATCGCATTTTTCTGGTGAAGCAGAAAACCATTAAATGAGGTAGTGATGGTGAATTATGTTTGGACATATCGCTGGACCCAATCCTAAGAGGTGTGCACTCAATTTCTATCTGGCTCGGTTAATGCATTTTAATGGTGGTCCTGCAAAATGACATCCTGATACTGTTTAGGACACTAAGTTGCAACCTCTAGGAAATTATCAAAGCCTGATTATTTTCCCCTAACAATGCTAAAACCATTAATCAGGTGATAAAATGAAAGATGGACATTATAAATACCAGCTAATACATCATTGATTATTATAAACTTTATGTCTGGGAAAAATTCAGTCTTATTTTCTCTTTACGTGGTACCTGAATAACTGTGATGTAAAAAGAATAGTGGAGGTGGGAGAAAAAAGTAGAAACCTCCAAAAGGAACTTCTCTAACACAAACCCAGTTCACATATCAATTTCAATCCTCTTATTCAATTTGGAGATACTGTAATTGTGCACAAAATCTCAAGAAAACATGAAAAAAAAAAATGGGGTTGAAAATTTAACTGAAATATACACTGTCTGTGGAATAGTTCTGCCTAGAAAACAACCCAACATACCAAATTTCATCTCATACAAAGGAAGTCCCTTTATATTTTACTTATACTTAGGAAGTATAAATATATTTATATTTTACTTATACTTAGAAAGTATAATAAATATATTTATATTTTACTTGTGACTCTTTCTATTTTACTTATAATTATGAAGCCATTTTACATTTTACTTTACTTATACTTTATAAACGGATCAATTGAATTTTTTGTCCCAAAAAATATGTTCTGGGGTTTTACCAACCTTTGATGAAGTACAAACATTTTTTATTTTCTGGTAAATACAACAAAAAGTTGCCTTCTTTATGAGAGTTATGCTTGCTAAATATTTAAAATAAACCAATATTTTTTAGTATAGTTTATATACAGTCGCGATCATAGAACTGGCCTCACCGAATGCAAATTTTATTTTATTTATCAGAAGTGCTATCTGCAAGATCTCCGAATATTTCTTTGCCAGTTTTGAAACAATATTCTAAAAGCATTCAAATTGTATATTGTAGCAAAAAAAATATTAGTAGCAATATATATTGTATATTGTAGCAAAAAAAATATTAGTAGCACGCCTATCTTATATTAGTAACCATATTTAAAAAAAGATACATATTTAATAATTAGTGTTAAAATGGTTACATATTAAAATAATAATAATAATAATAATAATAATATATATATATATATATATATATATATATATATATATATATATATATATATATATATATATATAAATTATTCAAAAATCTGTAATGGTAAGGCAAATCATAGATCATAGTCATGGAAGTTCATTGATACAAAATGTTTACAGATATTTTAAACAGTTTACCAAACATTTAAGGTTACATATTTAGAATTGAAACCACTTGTCCTATTTTACATAAATTGTCAAATCTACTGTATTTTCTTTTCAAATAAATTTTACAACTGCAACAGATACCTGTTATGGGCATGATGTATGGGTCTTGGTCATAGTAAAACTAGTTATGACCCTATTAACAAAATAAATTAAATGATAATTTTGACACTTGCTATCTATACATATCAACATAGATTAATTTACTATTTCAAAAGTAAATAAAATAACAAAATACACATTAAAATTTTCTTAAATTTAGATAAATATGTAAATATGAATTCTAATTAAAAATTAATTTATATTCAGTTAAGATTATGACGAATTAAAAATAATTGACAATCAAATCTTAGTGGAAAGAGTTAGTTGCAAAGTTTAAATTATAAACAATTTATTCTGATATTTCAGTTGCTGATAATTATGGAGTTCTCACTTATGGTTTATATCTTTTCCTGTTAACCATTTGGTGGTCACAAGTATGGGGTGACTCTTCTGCTTGTCCCTATACCCACATTGAAGAAATCGTAGAGGGTGGTCAAGGACCTGCTGTGGTTGTTGCTAAAATTCTAGCGGAATTAGCTGGTGGTGCGTTAACTTTCAGGTACTACTGTATTTCATTGTTTAATTCATGACTCTACTAACAGAAAAATTATTATATTTTTCATTCTTAAACGGTTACATAAATTATAGTTTTTATGAAACATGGTTGGAGTTTCATAATATTTTTTCTTAATCCTCAAGGAGCATAATTAAACATTCTAAACTATTAGCATCCCATGAGGTCTTATGAGCATAGGATGTTCAACCAGGACTATTCTTGATGTAAGAAGTGAATATGGCTTGAAACCGTTCTGTGCAGTTTGACTTTTATTTTAAAGGGAGTCCATGAAATAAATTTCAACCTCAATCTGGCTAGAATAGTTGAAGAACATAGTCCTTTTTGCTTTAGAAATACAGTATCACAGTATGCTCTTAATATGTATTAATAGAACAAAATGTAACATAAAGGTAGATAATAATTTTAAAATATAAAACCTTTGAAAAGTACTGTTTTTTTTTTTTAATCAAAAAATTAGGTTTGTTATAATTTCTAAACAAAGATGGTGAAATAGGAAAAAGTAAAAAAACGGATCAAATAAAATATTTTGGAAGTGGAAAAGTTACATTGGGTTATTTTTTTTTTACAATTTTAATCATGCTACTTGAAAATTATAACTGATGAACCCAACATCAAAATTGATGTTGATAAATGTATTTACATTTTGAAGCAATACCTCATCTTCAGGAACTCAAACATCATTAATTTATTATTTATTTCTTGCTCTTGCGACTAATGGAATACAAGATGAAAAAAATAAGTTATTATTTTTGGAATTTTACACTTTCTTGGCTTTTGTCAGAAATATTCACCTACCTGGACCAAGGTCAAGGATTAGGCACAAATATTAAACTATATTTAAATTTTTTTTATGATATTCACCATACCAAGCAAAGCTTTCTACCCTTCCTTTAATACTTTTTCTGGCAGCTTCAAATTCCAAACAGAGCGGATGGTATTGTCTGAAATGAGACCATTGTTGGATATTACTATCGGATAAACCTTTATATGGTCATGTCTATAGAGTTGCCAAAGCTCCTGGCACAATTATTAATATTTTTAGAAATTGTCTTTCCAATATTATCATCATTAGGGACTGCAATAGCAATGACATAGCCAGTTTTTTTTCTTTCGGTCAATAGTTTACCACCATTTGGTATGTAATTATAGAGCGGTCCCAATATTTTGTTATGTTTCTTCTGACAGTATCAATTTGGGTTCATATAGAATCCATTATAGCTTATACGTAATAAGGAAGCTGGTTCGACATGTTATATAATAAGGCCAAGGCTTGGTGCAAAATCTTTGCCAGGTTATTGTGCCTCATCAGGTATTCTTTTTCAGCCAACACATGACATCCTGATGATATTTGCTGGATTGATTCGGCTGCATATTTACAAAGACCACATCGGTCACTCATGTCATCTCTGCATATATATTTTCTACAGGCATTAGTGGAAACTACCTGATCCTGAATTGTCAAAATAAATTCTTGATTCTTAATTGATTATTGAATAAGAAAATAATAATATTTTTTATTAAATAATAATAATAATTACTATTTATTTTTTTTACACATTACATGTTTGTTTTTAATATTTGGAGACCAAATTTAGTCAACCAAATATATCATAAATATATTTTCAAGATTATTTTACCGTTCCCAACAATACTGCCATTTGCATTTTTTGCATTGTCCGTTGGCAAGTCCAGCTCATACAAAGAAGAGTGAGAATGTTCTGGTAATATATGCATTACATGAAATCGTCCACAGTAGAACCCGGCTTTCCTTTAAATCATACAGTTGTTTTAATTCTTCCTCCAAATTCTACATATTTTCCCACCACTATCTAGTGCAGATTATCTATTTCTATCTAATTTCTATAATAGACAATATTTTCTTTTCTTTATCAATTATTAAAATGTCAGGCTTATTGTGAGGGACAGTATGATCCGTTAATATAGGTTGATCCCAGACATTGACATTAACATTAAGCTTGGAGATGATTGATTCAGGATGATATTTGTAATACGGACAATAGTTATCCCTTAGTTCCAGCTTCTGAGCCATGGCTTGATGCACCACTTTAGCTGTATTGTTATGCCCCAGTAAATATTCTTTATCCGTCATTATTGTGCATCTAGAAGTTATTTGCTGAATCACTCCACTGGTTTTTTGTATAGGCGGCATAAGTCATTTATATACTCTCCACAAATATGCTTTTTATATGCTCTTGTGGCTATTAACTGCTCTTGGATAGCCAGCAAGAATTCTTCGGTTTCTGGGAAAATATTACCACTTTTGAGCCATGTTAACATTGCCTGAGTGTCGATTCCTGTCGCTGTCAGTCAATGATAAAATTGCCCATGCAGTGATTTATATTTTAATTATCTTCCATTTAATAATGATAATAATTATTATTATTATTGTAAAAATCTAAAATAAAATATTCTATATTTTAATAAATTTAATTAGGCAAAAAATTGGTAACAAAACATTGTAAAATTACTTATAAACAGAGAACACCCTAAAAACTTAAAAATTAATATCAGTTGATACCATAGGCTTTAAATTTACATATTAAATATAATATTCATTCTTCAGGATTATTGTTATTCCTGTTCATCAAAAGTTGCTTCTGTTAAAAGAAAATGGTAGTTCTTCAGAATTACTGCTATTCTGGTCTGTTAAAACTTACTTCTATTAAAATAAAATTGTGGATCTTTAGGAATACCGCAATTTCTGTTAATTAAAACTTGCTTCTTTTTAAAGAAAATGACAATTCTTCAGGGTATTGTCATTACTCAAAATTTATCATCCAACTATATTTGCTGATTGACTTTTATAATATTTTTGTTACTCCTTTAGTGTTCAATAATTCTGAACAGTTCAAATCCCTGTTTAGGAGTTTTGATCTTATAAAAGGGAAAGAGCAATGGAAGTAAATATCTGTCCACTTCTATTGGTGGAACCATAGAACCATGGCTTTGGTAGAAACATAGAGCACCAGGGGCAAAGTTTCCTGGACTCTCCTTTCAAATATTGAATTCAGCTCTGGAACCGAACATCGTCCATAATAATGTATGTAACGAAAATATTAAGTAAATATATTACATGTTATATATTTAATGTCCTGTATACTAAAAGTAAAATGTAAAACCTGGTGGGCATAGCCATGTCCCTAACATCCTTTCTCTGGCCCTGCAATTGTGAGAAACAACCTATTAATTTTGAAAAGAACAGCTTTAATAAATAAACGTGTTATTCAAAATCGAAGAAATCTCTCGAAATTATGAGGGCAAATAAGACAGTTTAACGGCCAGATTGCACCCTTTTTCTATACTTAAAACTCTACAAAATGAAGACCCATTTATGCCAAGTGTTTAACATATATGGGGCAAATCGTGATCCTTAATGGGGTTGGTGGGACATGTTACAGGTCAAAACTGGATTGTCGGAATTAAGGTATAAGTGGCAAATCTGATTTTAATGTTCTTTAGAATGAAATACTGCATATTCTTCTATGTAGGAACCAAATACTTTCAATGGTTTCTTCAACAGAAAAAGTCAGGCAGGGATAGTTTTTTTATGTAGTACTGTTTCATTATGCTCTGACATCGAAATCTTTATTCATTTAAAAAAAAAATAGTTCACAATAACTGTTAAGCAGTTATAACCATTTAAAAAAATAATAATAATAGGTAACTTTTATGGAAAAATATATCATTTTAAAAGGTTACTGGATAATTATTTTGTATTTTTTATTTTTATGGGGCGGATGGAATTCGCAATCCATACATTGTCTGATAACGTGAAGATATATACATGAGTTCAAGATACATATATGAGTTCAAGTTTATTTCCTGGAGGCATTAATTCCCTATCTGCTCCCCTGGAACAGGAAAACCTCTGATAAGGTGATGTAGCTTTTTTGTGTCGTTATTTCGATCTCTGGACATAATAGAATAACTGTAGAATCTTTTAAAAGATTTTGAAAAACTACCAAGTACTACATATGTATCGTAGATGATCCTTGTTAGAATCCTATTTTATAAAGATATGGAACTTACTTTACATCGTTTAGGTTTTTTTTATCAGGCCAGTTAATTCTGATTAAGTGTTGATATGGAATTAGGAAACGGGGAGCCACCTGTTGAGTAGAGCTGGGGTCAATGTCAGCTAGCTAATGTCAGTCCTCATTGGAAGGCCCATTGTCAATCTTCTTTTCAAACATTTCATTCCGACTACAATCGCCATTATTATTTACCAGCCTAATGCGAAACGAAAATCCCGTTTTCTAATTTAATATCAACACTATATGAAATTGGTCTAATAGAAAAAACTTCAACAATCAACAATGGTAAGTTCCATATTTTTACCATACTGCAGATTAATAAATTCTTATTTATTTGATTCACTCTTCTTTCATTATCTTATCCTCTTAAAAATAACATTTCATTCAATAAAATCACATAAAGGAATAGTCATGGATAAAAAAAAAGAAGGAAATCAACCTTTAAAAAAATAAGTAAATACCATAGTTTCTAAATAGTTCACATTTTTGGCAACTACTTAGTTTTTTTTTTATATTTATATTTTATTGCTACCTCATTTTTTATTTTATTTTTTAACCCCTTTTAACTTTTAAGGACGTACTTGAACTCGTAACCTTAAGTTTATCAGGTTGCTGGAACGCGTTAATCGGCTGGCCAGCCCGCCTCCTTAGGATTCATTAATCTCTGAAATTAGACTAGTGCTGAATCTTGTCGTACTAATACGCTCCATAATAAGATTTAATCTCCATTTGCGATAATTGATCCCATAATGCTTACACATATAGCATTATTACTTAAATTAAAAAAAAAAATCTTATTCCTTCTTCCAATTAAACGGTCACATAAACGGTGATAAAATAAGGAAATCGTGGTTCTCCTGACGTCCTCCAGTTTCCGGTAGAGTTTGGTTTCAAGCGATTTCGGCTCAGGCCAATCTTCTTTTTAGC